AATAATCTATGACAAATTTCGTGAAGATATCTCATCAAATATAAAAGTTTTTCATATGAAGCCTTAAGGGGGTATTCTAATCTAGAAATTTGAAAAAATCTAAAAAATTTTTTTTCATAATTCGATAGTTTTGATATTCAAAAATAACTCCCTAAAAGGATTTTTCAAAACTCAAATTATTTTCAAAGTTTTAGCCATTTTAGTGAGGTGGCAACTAGACCGGTTGAACGAACTATCTATCTATCTATTACGCTGCCCGAAACTTAACGTAAAACTTTAAACTCGTTTTTCTCAAAACTCCTTTTTTTGATGCGGTAGCCACAATATCTCAAGTTTTAATCAGTCGATTTATTTAAAATTCGGCATGAATATTCTTTAAATATATCTTATCATTTGAAGCAACAAAAAACAAAAATTTAAAATTTATATTTAAAAAAAAAGCGACAAAATTGAAAAATTATTGAAAAAATGGACCGTTTTTTTTTGAGTAGCCGCCATTATATGAAACAAAATTTTTTTACTTTTTCGATGTTAAAAACTTGCTGACAAACTTAATATACCCCATTCTGGGTATAAAAATATATAAACAAATTGAAAAAAAAGCTTGGTAAAATAAAAGACTGCAGCGGTTATTAAAAAGCCTGCTGTCTCAAGCTAAAGTCATTCACTGCAGTCAATATAGCGTGGCACATAATTGAAAGCGTTTCACCTGTGTCTCGCTTTGACTTTGACTTGAGCTGAAAATGCATTTTGCACACATGCAAGTACATACATACATCTACATAAATACATAGTATATATATAGAGACGTGATTACAATAGTATGCGAGTCTGCGCAGAAGCTCGTCAGCGATTGCATGGAAATGCGCCTATGAATGCAAAGCAATGCATTGCACTTGCTCGAAGACAAACAGCAGGCGGCAGGCAGCTACTTCAGTCGCCTCTTCAATCCCTTGACGTCAAACAAAGCAAACACCAGCCAGCTTACTTTACTTTACTTTCTGTTTATCTGTCTGCTACCAACTCCGTCAGTTGGCAAGACAAATGAGTGAAAAAAAAACACTTTTGGTGTTCTTCAGTGCGCTCAACCACAGCGAAATAGAACAATACTTCAGCGTGGCTATGTTCATTCATAAATTCGTTGGCAATCGTTACATATGTATATGCAGACCATCGACCACACAAGTGGTATGAGGGGGTAGGCTGACAGAATTAACAATAGAGCACGTATGTAAAGTGACAAAAGAGGCAAAAATGCCATAACACCAGCTAAGGGGCTGGAACAACAACAAAAGCAAAAAAACAACAACAAAAAGGGAATAAAGCTGCTTGCATACGCTCGAGACTGCTACTTTAACACTATCTGAGTAATAAAATGTATGTATGCTATGTACATATACATACAAATGCTATTATGACTGTCTCATAAATTGGCGCTGAACCCTTATGACAATAGAAACATATATGCACATTTATATAAGCAAATATAGTACATATACATACATATATACATATGTGAATATATATATTGTACATATGTACATATATGTCCACATATAAAAATATTTTATACAAGCCGAATTATGAATGATCAATCAGTACCACTAATGCATCTAAGCCTTATCAAGGAAATGTAAAGAAATATTTTTCATAACGAAAACGAAAACGAATAATTAAACGAATTCGTTTTTATTCGTACAATATTAAAATGTTTAATACGCGACCAGAATTTTAATTTTGCATGTTTGTGTCACTTTTCTATATATAGGGGTTTTCCATAGGGCTCTACAAAAGCCATATATTTTTCCGCTCTTTTGACATTTCTCTTCAGAGAGGTTTGTCATTTCATCATGGAAAGTTATACGATCCAACAACGAGTCGATATTATTAAGATTTACACTACCGAAATTCGGACTCAGTGACCTTAACGGCGCCACAAACCACACAGCGAAGGTCACAATCGATTTATTAAAAACCAAGTTTGGTGAATGTGTTATCTCACGAAATGGAACCGTCAATTGGCTGCCTCGACCAATTTTTTTGGCTGCGTCGATTTCGTTCCACGCTCTGAACTTATAGAAAAATCGAAAATATCAAAAAATTTCCAATTATTCATCGCCCGACCATCAGGAACAGTTTCCATTGCCCAGGAGCTCACAATTGCACAAAAAAACTATTTGGGACCTTCTGGATATAAGAGTACAAGAGTACCGCTTAGGATAGCGCAAGAAATCTCATAGACTGAATATCCATCAGCGAATCGCTACTGAATCGCAAGAATTCAATGCAATTTCTGAACCGACAGTTACTGTTGGATCACTAAGGACAACGTCAAGCGAAAACGGTCGTGGCTAATCGCAGTGAGCCGGCGCAAACGGTTGCTGTGTGTTTGATGAGGTTAGCAGAGAATCGCTTGCTATGAGCTATTCCGTCAAACATGTACATGTACAGACCTGTACTAAAAACAATTTGATAGCCCGGAAGCGGTCAGCTTTTGTCTAATAGGAGAGGAATCGTGTTCCAAGGGCAAGACGGCAAGCCCCACATGTCGAAAGTGCCTCACTAGAAACTTCGGCTGTTTGGTTAAGATATTTTTAGCCATTCACTTTATCGTCCGGACTTCGAACCAAGTGATTAGCACCTTTTCCTGAAAATGACGAATGCTTTTAATGTTAAAAAAATTTTTTTTTGCTTTGAGTACAATTTAAGCATTCAAAAACTTTATTCAATTAATAGTGTAGTAAAAAAAATAGATTTCTCTGTGTAATCCACCAGCCTGGAAGAGTTTGGGTTACTCAGGGTTACTCAGGCGAATCGGAAGTTTAGCCTTCACTTCGTATCAAAAATCGGTAGTAAAACTTATTTTATAAACTCGCATATCATTAGATACATCGAAGAGATAGAAATTTAAATACTTTCTACTTACGCGAAGAGAAAAATGTCAAAATTTGGCCGCTGTTTGAAGGCTCTAGACTGACATAACCGCTTTAGCTCTTATAAAGAATGTTCGAAGTAATACCTATAAATGCAAACCAAATACAAGTTTTCCCAAATGCCAAAAATAAAAAATTAAGTTATAAAAAATATTAAAAGAAAAAAAAATTATAAACACATATGTGTTTTATAATATAAATTAAATTTTATCATATAGTAAAGTGTTATGAAAATATATGTAATATAACTCTAAACTTTTTTTTACATTTTTGAGATACATATTTTAAGGTATAAAAAAATGTTTATCTCTTATTGAGCCCTACTTAATTTACTTCTGCATCTATTCCCAACACCAACGCTTAAAAAGAAGTGAAAAATAAGAAATTATAACCACAGCAACCAACATTTGATTAGAGCCGCAGCTTTGGATTACCATGAAAAATCTCTGGCAACAGTAGTTATGTGTAAGAGAAGGTAGAAATGTTTTTGGGGTGATTTTTGATTCAAGTATTCAAATGTAGTATTTATGAAAATAATGTGTGCAGTACATACCTTTTGCGGTTGAAAAAGTTGCCTTGCAGAAAATTATTCCTTGTGTTTACATCATCCACCTGAAAGGCAACAAGATAATACATTAGTGACCAGAGAATGAAAGCAGAACCCAAATAAACGAAACCATTAAATATACAGAAGTGTTGAGAAAATATGAAAACCAATTATTGTACATACTCTCATTATGTCGAAATTTTTGCAGTCTTCAGTGGCAACTCTATGCCCAAATTTTTTTTGTTAAAGTGCATTAAATTAAATTTAAAAAAATTTTAAACTCATATTTTATAGCACGCAATTATTGATACTCAACTCGGTTTTGTACTTTTCGATAGGTGGCAACGCTAATATGAAATATTTGAAACATATAGCATTCAAAATTCTATTCAGTATTATGTCAAAATTAAATACTTTAAGAAATTCATTCCGTAAAGTTTCACACACAACGTAAGTTTGCTACACGCTGTATGGGTGGCAACTCTTTTGCAATATATCTGTTATTGACGACTTATTGTAGCATATAAAATGCATTTATAAATGCAAACAATAGATAAGATAGGAACATTTACAGCCAGTATTAGCAGTACTAATAAAAAATATTTTTTTTTTTCAGCGAACTCACAAATTTATAGCTTGATTGAACTTTATCTATTTTGTCTGTAATTTTAGAATAAAAAGAAGTTTACGAAATATCATATATTATTGTGAAGTCCGTTACTTTTACATGTCATCTGTCATGTCTAAAATTTATACTTCTGTATTGTACTTTTAAAATATGCACGAAGAAAATCCGACGTTCTCGAACTAAATTTTATTCAGCGAAAATATTCAGAAATGGGCCTCATTTCTGACTGCTGCTGTTTCATCCAGAAAAAACACCGCTTTGATGTCGTTTGTAGGCCGGTGTAATCATCGGTTTACAGTACTTAAAAAATTGATAAACACTTCGGTGAGCAGATAGTTTCACCGCTTGGACCGGTCGACTGACCACCAAGAATTTGAATTTTTTCCGTGGGAATATGTAAAGTCTAAAGCCTATGCGGATTCATGCCTTGGCGTGCTTCGATTCAGGACTGGTAGCAAAACATCACTTATATCATTCGTCAGTTACCAGACGAAATGCTCGAACGAGTCGTCGAAAATTGAACTAAACGGATGAACTGAGATAGACGCGGTTAACATCTGAAAGCGATAATCATCAAAAAGTAAATGCCAAAGAACGGTCTATCGAATGATAATATACATTGCCTATTCAATTTGAAGTTTCTGTGTTTTTCCTTTTTTAAGTAAGGAAACTCGAAATGTATCACCTTTTATAAGTGAATGTTTATAAAAGTTTTGGGCCTAACAGGAAAATAGCTATTTACTTATTTACTACTTTAAAGGATTTTCAGCCAATATGATACATTTTGGAGTTTCAGTGGTCAAATTAGTTTTCTAACAGGGTTTGTTATATTTCTCGATATTGAAGCATTGAATAACTTCAAAAATCTAACCATCTTTTATGGTTGAGATAATTCTATTTAATTTAGCACTATTCAACTAATTTTGGACTATTTTTGAGTACAAGATTAATCAAGTATCAATCAAAATAAGTTTTTTTTCTGTGTGTTTTCATTTCTCTCCGGACATTTCTAGTCTCTAAGGCCAAACATTGGCGATGTTTTTGCAAACAGTAGCCATAAGGATCTTTCCTTGAACAATATCGACTTCTTTGTTATTTTTTATACCCAAAGAAATAGCGTAGAAATATAAAAAGTTCCGTTTTTGCTTTTAAGCTTCAAAAAAATCGTTCAAGTGGGATAGCTGGGATAGCTTATAGCTGTGGTGTAAACTAAGCGGTTAAAATCATGTCTTGTATAGACAAATTCAAATAAAATATATATATTTTTTGACAACATATCTTCTCGAAATTTGACATGAATAATTGTCTAAGATATCAAATAGATTATCTCATCTTAAATAAGTAATTTTTATAACAGCAGCAGAAGGTTTAAAATGGAATGAGCCCATTTATTAATTATTGTTTCGGGTAAAGCAATTGCTAGTGCCAATAGTGCTCAACTGAGTTTTACAAAACAAAAATTACTTAGGTTTTGTCAAAGCAAAAAACATTTACATACTGACAGAACATATGGCTCACCCTGTATACCTATGGCGACGACAAGTATAAACACTACTAAAACAGCTATGAAATGAAGTTTCTTAACTCGATTGTAAAAATAAAAATAAAAATGTGCTAATATTTACAAGCACAATATATTGTTAAACAATTAGTGCATTCCGAAATGTTTGTTCTACACGCACACACACACACACACACACACATATGTATGTATTTAGGTGCATAACTGTTGAGTGCGCATTAAAATTCGTTTTACAACAGCAAAAGGTGACAAAGCGAAATGTGTTTCTTAATTTTTTTTTAGATTTGTTTTTTGTAAAGTACACACCATATTTCATTTAATTCGTTTTGCAATTAAAAATATTTCACTACTCATCAATTATTTTAATTGCTTCGTTAAACACCTGCTATCAAAGAGATGCCACATGCGCCAAATTAGCATGCACTCATGTATAGACAGTTATTTGTATTTGCTTGGCAATAAAATATAATTTAAATAGCAAAAAAGCAATAAAATAAAATCGAAGGAGAAGAGGAAGAAGGCGTGCGGTGCTCTCGTCAAGACACATTCACTAGAATGGCAGACCTCTATCATCACTAATGAGCGGAAAGATTTTGACAAAGTAGCGGATGCTTATTTATGTGTTTTTATAAATCATGAGACTTATGTTTCAGTGCCAAAATAATCTTAGCGACTTGAAAATAAATTTTACGAATTAAAAAGTTATTGGTTTGAAAAACAAAACCAAAAAACAAAAAATGTAGAGGAGGAGAAATAAATGTTTATGTAAAATATAGATACAATAAAATAAATATGTATGTATATAACATATTAATTTATTAAATTCAAATATAATACAGGGTGAGCCATTTTTGACAACTATGCCAATTACTAACTTATCCAATATTTTTCAGTTGTGTATAGAAGACTGAACAGTCTGTGAAATCTTAACCAAGTGCACTTTATTTGGGTGCCAGGTCACAAAGGTATAGCCGGGTATTAACTGGCTGATGAGCTTGCCCGCTTTGCAGAATCCACCAACATAGTAGCACCGGAATCTTTCATTGGGGTTGGTCTCCACACCATAAAGGAGCCGCTCCGCAAGTATGAAGCAGCGGGTAGGGATAAGCATTGGCAACAGCTCCTAAGTATGCGCTATGCCAAGTTGCTAACGAGTGATTACAACCTCAAAAGGTTTAAATATGTAATAAACCTCCCAAGGGAAAAACTCAGGTTACTTGTCGCATTCTACATAGGCCAGTGTAAGCTCAAGAAGCACTTATCTAACATGGGCCTAGTGTAAATCTTGTGTGAATTGCTGGTTCTGCGACAGGGGGCCTAAAACTTCAGAATAATAAATTAACCGCTTAGTCTGTAGGCGCAGGATAAAGAGCCTTAGATCTATGGTTCCAAATAAGGATCACATCGTTTCACTAAGACTTAGCAGTGTATTAGATTTTATCAATATGCTGGGTCTAGGTGAGTCGTTGTGACTTACGAGAGGGCACAAAAGGCCTCATTTACTTATCTAATCTAATGTAATCAACTAGATAAAATATATTAATTCAGTACAATTTTAATTATGAGACACTTCAAACCGAAACGTAAAGAAATTGACGGTTTCCATTTGGTCCAAAAGAATCAATATCGATATATCATTGCTTGTTTTGACTGCCCGCAGGTAAATGCATGAAAAAAGGTCCCGACTATAACTGGGTTTAACAAGACCGCGTATCTTGTCGCAGTGCGAATGTAGTTATTCAGTTTCTGGAAGAAATATTCCCATGCTGTTTTCCTAAAATATTGTAAGAAACACTGCCGATCTGACAGATCTTCGCCGATTAAAAGTCCGGGTTCGTTCCGGTTACATAAATCCCACTGTACTGTTTGGGAGGCTTAAAGGGCGAAGTGTACGCCTGAAGTCCGGGACTGCCGAACTGACAGTTTTTATGCGATTAAAAACCGAGTTCATTTTGATTACATAGACCCGACTATCGCGGAAATGGACAAAAAAGATAGCTGTGGCTGGCCAACCAGATCTCCTGATTTTACTACGCCTTTTCTTGGTGGTGCTTAAAGCCAAAGTGTACATCTAAGTCCGCGAACTATTAACAGTCCAAGCAAACGGATAACTGGAACACTGAAACAAGAATTTTTGATTGTCCACCCCTATCACGCACTGGAGTCCGTAGTTCCGGTTCAAAGAGAGTATAGGCGCACGATTGGCGGCAATCCTCCGAGCAGATGGACCATAATGAGACTTGTAAACAATTTTGCCGAGCATGGGACAGTCAACAGAAGACCTTACCATCGAAACCCTTCAGTTCGAACGGAGGAAACAATCGCTGCTGTAGCTGCTGCCATACAAAACAATCCACGTATTTCGACAAGAAGCTTATCTGCTCAAATGGGTGTAAGCAGACAGTCATT